AATGATGCAAAATATCAAATTAGAAAATGCTTGAAATATTTGGCGTGTAAAAATTCTGTATATGAGCTCACCTTGTATCTCATCTCCAGACAGCTTAAAATATCTGGACCGCCAGGGGTGAACATTTCAGGGATATACTGAAGTGCAAAGGAAAGATTGGAGGCGAGCCGAGAGTCTCCATGTAGACTGTACTGCAGAGCTTTGTTCAGTATAGAATTCAGGACTAGTGGGGTGAAGAGCTCGCTGGGTGTCTGTCCTGAGACGAGCTGTAAACAAGTAAAACACATTACACGATTAACACAGAGATCTAGCAAGTACCATTACCATACAGGACTGGCAAGTATGGTTGTCTTCTGTATTTACTCTGTAGACAAGCATTCCATTAATAGGTATCTGGATAATACAAAAGTAAAAGTCAACTGCTTAAAAATACTTCACCTTTTCAAAAAGCTGGTCACTAAGTGACTGGGCAAATTCCCCATCTTCCATCAGAAGGAAATGTCTGATTGCTACAAAATGTTTTTCCATATTCAGCTCCACAAAGTAATAATCCACCACAGCTTTGTTGACAAGCGAAACGCTACAAATGAAAAATGATAATGTTGATATATTGTTACCAACTTGTAAGATGCAGAAAAAAGCATCAGAAACTTAAAACCCCACTCCGGGCTTCCTGCCTTCACATCTACTATTGTTCTTCTGCCCATACACATATCATTTCATAAAGGTTTTTGTAAATAACTAGCTTCAGAAAGGATAAATGCCATATATTAGTAACTGTGACATCATCTGACAGCCACAGACTATGCAGTATACTGGGATGCCTGCAGGAGTGTCTGGGCAGCAGTATTCTAGGACTACATGTCCCATGATTCTTAGGCACTCTGTTCATGTCCTCAGGCGGAGTCCTGGATGAGCCAATATCTTGCATTTGTGCTCTGTATTAGCAGCAAGACACAGACAGAAAATGGAGGCGGAGTGGGGACAAGGCAGGCAGGTTGATTATATCAGCATTTTACACTACCACGCACAACAGCACCAAGAACTGCGAGGGGCGCTGAGGAAACTGGGCACCGTGCAAATAAGTGGACAAACATGTCCGGTCCTTGGGACAAGGAATCAGGAGGAAAGTGCATGGAAACAATAAGTCTGAAAGATGAGATGGCAGCAAGTCACCTAAACATCTGTTTGGAGAAGGCCAAGCGGAAAGGCGTTCATGCTTACCAATACACGTTAATTTTGGCCAGACATACATTCATGCATTTATTATACAGAATATACAGGTGAAACTCGAATAATTAGAATATCGTGCAAAGTTCATTTATTTCACTAATGCAACTTAAAAGGTGAAACTAATATATGAGATAGACTCATTACATGCAAAGCAAGATAGTTCAAGCCGTGATTTGTCATAATTGTGATGATTATGGCTTACAGCTCATGAAAACCCCAAGAACCCCAAATCCACAACCTCAAAAAAGTAGATTATTACATGCAATCAATAAAACAAGGATTGTACATAGAACAATATCGGACCTCTGAAAAGTACAAGCATGCATATGTACTCAGTACTTGGTTTGGGCCCCTTTTGCAGAACTTACTGCAATTACTTTTGCACGATATTCTAATTATTCGAGTTTCACCTGTATGTTTTCAAATTCCAAATCCTCTCCCTTTTCAGTAGATACCAATTGTAGTGTAGAAGTATTCAGAAAATATATAATGTTGGGGGGTTTTACGTCATTTTCAGGCCTAAAATGTGGAATATAACATGGGTGCAAAAATGGAAAAAAGGGCCTCAGTCATGAAGGGGTTAAAATACTCACTGGGATACAATGGGTGCAGTAACAGAATACTTCATCAGCACTGGTAGGGAGAGCAGCTCAATAAGCATAACAGCAGTCTCATCGGTGGCCGAGTGTACATCAGGGTCCACAGGGAAGGAGAACTCTCCACTGATAACATGACTAAGCATTTGGAGAACTGGAGGCTCTGCTGCACAGACAAAAGATAGGAGATTAATATATACACACAGTATCATCACAAACATAGATGTCAGATCACATACACTATTACCTTTAATTCCTAAAGTAATACTTACACATGATTGCGTAGCTGTCTTGATATTTCTCAAGGCCATATGTTTGTGCCAGCGTCTGGATATATTCTTGCTCTTTTTGCCAGGTTTCATCCATGACTTTGTTGTCTTCTTCGGCCTCAGGGACAGGCTGATCTGCACTGTGTGTGTTGTTGTCAGATTCTCCACAGCTGTATGCAGGTTCTTCATGCTGCAACACATAAAACTTTCTGTATAAAACAGCTGATTTATGAGAACAGGAACTAGAGAAAAAAGCACACTGCCCATAGCGCCCAATACGATGCCAGGTACTTTTCTTCCAATGAAGATTAGAAAAGGAGACCTAGATTACAACCAGTTGCTATTAACAGATATATTTATTTTCCCAAAGTCACACCCTATCCATCTTAATATTTAAACTGGGGGAATAAACTTTTTTTGTCTTTTAATTTTTTTTGTCTTTTAAAAAAAATCCAGAAAACAATAAAAACCTCAACCCCTGCCCCTCCCCCCCCCCC